TACATATATAATTTTATCAGTACAGAGCAATTTATAAATACATATACAGTGTATATAAAAAACATAAAAGGCATTAAGAAATATCTTATTTTCCTGCAAGTGCTTTGAAAGCAGATATGAATATTGTCTTCAGGCAGAAAAGGAATCAAACAATTTTTTCAAACAGATTTTAAATTAGAAACAGGAATGGCATTAACTGTTTAGAGTATTAACAACTTTTAGAACAAAAAGTTTTAAAAATTTTAAATTTGAAAATTGCATAACATCTACACGCATGCGCTTTAATATGTGGAGAAGATGGAGAAATGCAGTTAATTATAATGATTTAATAGAGCTTATACAAGCTGATCCAAATTCCAGGCAACTCAAGGGAAAGTATTATCATACAGTAATGGCTACCAGTAGTTAAGAAGACAAAAATAGAAAAAGGAAAAGAAATCCTACCATGTGGGCAAAAATGAAAGAAAAATATACTGGTAGGCCTATTAGTTTTTGTGAAGTGTATATGTTAACAAATGTTGACATAATCTACTTTCATAATAATCTGTACAAAGATTCATATAAACAATGGCAAAATGCCACAATTCTTTTTGTTAATTCAATTCAACCACTAAAAAGAGCTAGAAAAGTCAACAGTGATAACAGAGTTGAACATATTGCAACTAATTCATACATACATTTGAACACATTTGTATCATTTTACTGTAGAAAATTTTTTAAAATCCCTTGATAGTCTGACGTTTTTTAATCCGACATGCTCAGTAGTCCAACGCACTTCCCGTCAAGGTACTCGTCCCCGTTATGTGTCTGCTTGCACAGAAGCATGTCGCGACGTGAATCTCCCCATCCAATTCTTACACGATGACACATTTCGTGTGTTTTCTGTGAGCAGTTCTGTTCAAATAGTTAGAGTAGGGAATATTGTAAGCTACTGCTAGCAAAACAATGCAAAATATATAATTATTTTTGGTAATTCGAACACTTTTAGTAATCCAACACCCCTTTGGTTCCATACCTGTCAAACTATTAAGGGAGAGCTGTAATGGTTTAGAAAAATTCCAGTAATACATTTATCCTGATTATTTTCAGTTTCCAAATTTGCATTACTCCAACTTAAGGATCTGTTCTGATGCATTTCGCAGATTGGTATGAACTCATTATCATATTTCATATTAAAGAATCTCAATTGTTACACAGTATAAAAAACAATTACAGGAAATCCTCATTAGTTTGAAGTTCAAGGAAAAAAATGATCGTGACTTCAAATTATTTGAGATCTACATATTTCTGTACAATATGCCAAATGTCAGATAATTGGTGTAATTTTTTAAGCAAATGGAATATGGCTACATATACCAAATGCTGTTTTCATTACTTAATAATTGTTAGTAATAATAATACAAATAAACTGCAGGTAAACAGCATGTGTCCAGTGAGAACCTCACAGGTTACCAAATAAATTTTATAAAAAGTAGACTGGAATTCCTTGAAATGTAGCCCAAAATATAGTAAATCACCCAAATCTAATAGACTAGAGCCCTACAAGTATCTCAATCTGCTACTTGAGCCCAATCTTGCCCAGCTGTATTTGAGAGATAAGAGAAAAAAGGGTATTTCATAGGTAAGGTGACACCCAAAAATATGTTACTGTAAAAGCAAAGCCATGTTGATTAGATTAGAGTTGTCTATTGTTCTCTTATAGTATAGAGGCACTTTGGTCTAAATGAACAAGTTAACATACCCATATCACAATTTGGACAGAATTTTCACTTTGAATTTCGAAGTAACCATATTTAAAACAAACCAAATTCCTTAATTTATAAATCTCTATATCCCTGGCCAAGACAAATAGTACAGTTATGAAGTAATGGGATTTCAACCTATCTGGGTTTGAATTAATGAGGATTTGTATGAAGTAAGTTTAAAATATAATTTATTATTAAAGCAAATTAAAATAAGTAATTTTTAAAAATTCTGAGATCTCAGATGGACAGACCATAAAAGTAAAGTGTAAAAGCTGGATTTAGGACCAAATAGACATATTTCCATACTTCATCTTTTAGCTTTGCATGTTTTATATGATGAGGATTTTTAAAATTCATGTGGATACTTTAGGGCCCTTAGGGACTTTATGCCAAAAACTGATATTGTAAATAATGATATTAGCTAAATTTTGCCTTTGTTAGTCTTTCTGTAAAGTTTGTATTTCTTGTATTACATCCATATGGAAATATGCTCTTCATATATTTAGACAAATATAGATTATAGTCAATAACATGTGTACTATAAATATAATGATGCTATTATATACTTATTACAAAAGTTTCAAATAAAATTGAAAAAAATATATTCATTTATGTACTCACAATCTATAATATGAACAATTTATTAATTAATATAAACACTATAATAGTATGGTTGAGATTATGTGATGATCTCAATTTATTCTTTACCACTTACTATTGAGACCTTAGTAAATAATTACTACCTTTGGAATGGCCAAAATGCATATTGTAAAAAATAATGTTATTCAATAAAACATTTTTCCAAAGGCAATAACTGTTCACTAAGGTCTCAATAGTAAGCGGTCAAGAATAAATTGAGATCATCACGTAATCTCAACCACACTATTATAGTGTTTATATTAATTAAAACATAAAAAACCATCCCTTATTGTTTCACAATAATAATTGTTATTGGTAACTATCACTTAGTAAACTATTTACGTAATTTAACACTGAATTGAAATTTTGTTTTAATCTAAAATGCAAAGAATATAAAAAATAAATTTCTTAAATAAAAATCAAAAAATAAATTTAAACAAAACTACCTATTCTATATGTAAATATATTAATATTATAACATTCATATGCTAAAATCTGCTATAACTATGATTTGTAATAACAACTTATTTTGTATTATGTCAAGTATATAAAAGAATATCATCCATTACTATAGGCTTCAGTTCATTGTAAGATAGTAACTGTAATAAAATGCTTTCATTGTTTTTTCTTTTTTAAATGAGGTGTAATAATAGATATAAGAAGAGGTGTAATAAAATGTAATAAATAAAATTTCACCATTGTTAAAGATGCATTCAGCTAAGTAACCACAGTGGCTAGATCACCCTCATTACAAGAAATATAAAATTCACTAAAAATTTTAGATTTCAAACTGAAGCAGAAAATAAAAATAGACATTTAAATAATCTCTTAAATAACATTAAATGAATTCTTGATAATTTTAACTAATTTACATTTACAATCATTATTCATATAAACTTTTTAATTGTATATTAAAACATAGTTTGACATACAAGTTTAAAATTTAAATGTGTGAAAGGAAAATATATATTTAAAATAAACTAATATGACAATTTCATTTTTATTCAAATTGAATGTAGCTTCTAACTTACTTCTTAAGTAATACAATAATCAATAATTTTAATAAATGTTTCTGCCAGAAAATTCATGTATTATTGAAATCCAAAAATAGTATTAAAATATTGATTAAATAATGCAACTTGTGTAGTAAAATGTTTTCTTTTATATGCAAAAAAAAAAAACAAAAAGAGCTTAAGTAATTTTAAATGAAAAATAATAATATCTTATTACTACTTTTATATAAAGTAGTTACAATATTATCTATATAATATGATAATGATGTATAGAAATATGTTAAAAAGTAAATTATTATTAAGTTAGAATGTAAATCAAAAAATATATATACACTACAGTTTTATAAATAATTTAATATATAATTTTGTCACAAAATAACAACAAAAACAATCTATTCAAAATTAAATTATTAAAATAAGTAAAATTAAAAGTAAACATTCTTCATTTTTATTTAATCCTTTATAATTATTATTATTTATAAACTAGGGGGTGTTTTTCCACTGCACACTTCACTCATCCCACAGGATTCGCCCACTTGTGCAAAAATTTTTTGATGATTCATCGATTCCCAGTGCTGTCATTTCTATTTTTTTCTTTTTGCCACGGAAAAATGTTTATGATGATTTTAAGCTAAGTATTTCATACATATAGAACAGATATTATAAACAGAATAAATAAATATGCCAGTAACAAAATTAATTGAGATTAACTAAGTTCATATAAACAAATAAAATAAATTTGATTTTTAAACAATATATATATCCTATATTATTCTTATTTTTATGTAAATATACTGTTTTATATAAAATACATTAATAAGAAAATGAATTATTATTGCAGATATTTAGATTTATCAACAAATTTTATAAAAATAGAAAAACAATTAAATTTTGATATTCTATATTAAATTTACTTGTTTTAATTTATTTATTTACTTTGATATATTTACTATTTATTGAATAATTACTTTGAAGCATAATTTTTTATATGTAGATACCAAAAATAAAAATGTATAGTTAAATAATGCATACAGTACGTTTGATAAAGTTTTAATTGAAATAGTAGTTGAATTTTATACATATCAATTAAATATTGTTTTTGCATATAATATAATATCAAAAATGACAAGAATGAACAATATATTATTTCATATATTTGTGAATTAGCAAGTTATTACTTTAAGTTATATATTTCTAATTTAAATTTAGTTATGTTCAATAGCATTGAATCTTAATTAATAATAGAATATTTACTTATTCAAATGTGAATAGGCAAATCTAACAAGTCAAATTAAGAAATTTCATGAGCACTGATTTAGAAGATACAGGAAAAGTCAATTTCCTGTAATCTGCATGCTTCAATGAGTTTAAAATTATTAAAAATTGTTTTGAGTAAAACTTTTGAATAATTTAATGTTTTACAATCATACAAAAATATTATTTCTTGATATACTGTAGAAAAATAAAAAATATATATATATCTAATATTAGAAAATACATCACAACAATCTAAAATAACTACGGGTAAACAACTTCAAAAGATATTTTCAATAATAGATAGTTATATTTTATTTGATAGATTATGCAAAAAATTTTTACTCACCCTAAATGTCTTTCTAGCTGTTATGATAATGGAGTAATAATACTGTTAAACAGAACTATTACAGCCAAGAAATGCCACAAAGAAAAATATCAGCAAGATATACAAACAGTAAAATGTATCAATATTAACATTGTTTTCTTTTCTTTCTAATCAAATAAAAATGTTCATATCCATCACAAATTCCATCAGATTTCAAACTGTACATTTTTCATGACGGTAACTTCAATGCTCTACAGGACACTAAACGGAATGATAACATTTGCTATCGATGCCAACTGGCCGGGAATGTTGAAATAAATACAGTTTTGACTTCTTCACTTTTCTATTTGGCTGAAAATAAACCAGAAAGAAAACATACTTTAAAATTTATTGCAGATTAGTTTTCGGTAAATGATAAAGCAGCAAAACAGAATAGTAATCCATTGCGAGGTTTTATGCGGTTCGAACACTCAATAAACATTTTAAGAACTCCGAAAGCGTAATTAACTTAGTTTGCGCATACCAGAAACATAGATTTTAAGAATGAAACTCCACAATATCTTTCATTAAAAATAGTATAAAACTTATCAATAATGTTTACACAGTTCATACAAAATCAGCAAGTACAAAGGGCATATAGAAATATTTTTTTTTTAAATAAATAAATATGAAGCATTACCAACACATCATCCAACTGGCAAGGGTGTTTCACCTTTATATTATAATTTATTTACATATGTAACATTAAAGGAAAAAGTTAAGTTTGCCAATGACCAATTGCAAACACGGCCATTCAATAAATCGATAACCATCAATTGAATGATTAAGAAAAAAAACTTATAGCCTACTTACCGATACAAATGGCCGAATCGTCATCGATCCAGATCAGTAAGACATTATTCAATTAACTAATGCAGCGTGGAGAATGTCAACAACCCAAAATAGACTACTAGGCGTCTAGGATGTCCTAACTGTTGTCAACATTCCGAGTAGGGAGGCGATCGCCATGTGTTTGTGTCCGTGCGCATGCGTGGTTAATGAATTCGTCGGCATTCGAGTAATGAAATTTTGACGTACTCCCCCTACTTTTTTTTTATGTTTTTACAAGAACTAACGGTTGTAGACAAGAATTTATCGCTAACGAGTTTTGTATGATATCGCGTTTTATATAAACATTCATAAGCGTAAAATGGTTAGATAATCTAGCATTTTCATTTAAAGATCGTTTTTCCAACGCCATAAACTACTTTATAGGCTTTTATCATGTTAGTTATGAACGAATGCTACCCTATGGCGTGATTCATATTATCGTTTTTTATCGCCCAAGGTTAATGTTTTCGGCGTCGACGAATAAAAGAATTCATTCGCGTTTAACAAAATAAAAAATAAAAAAAATTAAACGATCCTAGTTAAATTTACTCTCTTTTTTTTCATTTTAAACAATCTACAAGGTAATAACTTATCTCCTGCAATAAAGTAATTGTTTTATTTATTTTATGATTTTGCATTATCTAAATTGAAAAGAAAAGTTCTAGATTTCTAAGTAGTTAGCATTAGTATGGGTTCTAAAACTTGGAATATCTTACATGTTAATAATGATAGGAAATACAGTAAGATGAAACCAGAAAATAATCCCAATAAACGGATTTAAGATCATTGTGATGTTATTAAGAAGCCTACTTTAAATTTTGGTGTATGAAACAAGATAAGATTAAATGAATTTTAGCTTACTGCATTTGTCTTTGTAAAAAAAAAAGTCTAACACTATGCGTGAATAATGAGTAGGCGTGTAACAAGCAATGAACTATAGAATATGCGAATTCAGCGACGAGTAATATTCAGCGTTTTTTCGACAATATTAAATATAAAACTTGATAGAAATGAAACTAGAAAATATCGATTGGTATTATTGAATAAAAAGCGACAGTTATTGAGATATAAAAATCAGGAAAACAAGCAAGATCTTCGAAAAAGAAATGAAACCCAAAGGGATGTACAGTACTTATCTACAGGGAATAGAAAAGTATATCTTCGAGTAAATAAACCATCAGAAAAAATATTTTTATACAATTTTATCACTCAACGCTTTAAGTAAATACATAACAACGCAATAAAGATATTTGAAAAACGTAATATTTAAAATTTATCAATGTAATTAACTAGAAAATGAGAGAAAAAAATATATATATATAAAAATTCTTTTGATAAAATCCATTTTGCTCATCTTTTCCCTCAAAAATGGGGATTTATATTTTATTTCCTGTCAGTGATTTGATTACTGAAAATTGATCGATTTTCTCATCTCGTTTCTCTCCCTATTGACCTTTATAGCATCGAAAAACAATTAAAAAGCAATAACTTTTTAAAATATTGAGTTTTACTTATAAAAAAATATGTATAGCTTTTTATCTGGAGTGTTTTATTGATATTTAAAAAGTAATGCATATTTTACTTTAATGTAAGATATGATAGTGAAAAAAAAAACATTAAAGATATCATCCTGCCATACACTTTTAGCCTTTAGCATTTGACTATCTAAGATCGGAAGCTCAATTTTCTTTTACCTCATTAAGTATATAGAGATTGGGAGACTTCCTAACGATCCTTCAACTTCTCTTTATCGATCTTGACATTTTCCAAAAACAAGAATCACCGATCAATATTTATACGTGTTCTTTCTGTTTATGAAAACAAAATGACATTGATATTAACCAAGATAAAACATCAGTAAAGTGGGACTCGATACAAATCAATCATTTCTTTAATAAATTTCAAACATTCACAAAATTAAAAAAAAAAACTGACAATTTAAACACTGTTTCAATTATTTTTACGTATTATTTAATGCGAGAATAGAAAATAAAATGTTTAAATGACTTTTCATTTGGTCATAAATCAATTTTTAATCCGAATCTTAAGATGCCCCTCGAGTATGTTTATTCCTCATTACATTTAAGTATTGCAGTGTAGAGTACACTCGAGAGATTTTTAAGTTTTTAATTAATTAAAATACAAATAAAAATAGAACAGCTTAATAAAATTAAACATTATTAATTAATTTACGTGTTATTTTTATATTTAATAACTATGATTAAATTATAATACGTAACAGATCAACATTGAGAATAGATTGAATATCCAATTATAACAAAGATTATAATTAAATTCAAAATAAAACCAAGATTAAATCATTTAACTCTGTAAATTTTTATAATCAGATAAATCTTATCTAACATCAATTTGCTGCGGTTTTAAAACTATGTCGACCATACTTTCACCTATCGATCCGAAGAGGTAAGGTCGTATCAGCGTGCGATGACTCATAGCGCGACCACACCCACAACTGTCAACCCTTTTATATAGATCGTGAGAAGTTAAAGTCTCTTAACTTCTCCTGGGCTTGACCCGCAAACCTCTACTGATTAATTTTTCAGACAATTAAGATCGTCGACTTAATATGCTGTGGCGAAATTAGTCTCCAACAGAGTAGAGCCTAGTCCGGTTCCCATCTCTGCATGTTACAAATCCATTTTCTGTACAATGAAATCGTCCATTATCGAAAAATTCACCACAAATCGATCACAAAATCAATTATTTAACAAAGCAGATAAATTGTAAGTTAGATGTTTAGTGTATCCGAGGAGAAAAATACTGTTTTCGAATACATTTCGCGATTCAACGCGTTTAAAATGATGCAAGACACGTAGGATTAACGGAAAAATCAATTTTGGGGAAACACGAAGGTTTAATTTAGATATTTTGCGAAACTCCACGTATTTTAATCACGAAGAATAGTTTATATAGTGAAAACCGCCCGGGGTATTTAACTTAAAGTGAAGGTTTCCATCACGAGGAGGAAAAACACCATTTCGCGGGATTACGTCATGTTTATGTTTAACATCGGTGCAGGTGGTAACTGTGCCAAGTTTACATAAATATTTTCCGTAACGTTAAATAATATTTCAATAAGAAGAAAATGTAATTATTCTTCTATTACTAGTAATAATGTTTTTTAATATACAGCTCCGTTATATATATATATATATATTTACAATCTCATACAAAACGCGTGACGGCATTATCTGGTTCGTAACACGTTTCCTCTTACATGTATCGGTTTAAAACCAGAACAAATCGTAGTTTATCGATATTCAGTAAGTTTTATAGCGACAAACCGTTCTGCAAAATGTAGCTTACCCACGGTTTCCAACTGTGCATCGATCGTGCATCGGAAATGCTCTTTCCACTCAAGGTCAAGGATGTGATGCGCGAAACGACCACCGGAGGGAGACACAGTCGGTGGCCACCCACGCAATGTTCGACAGTAAAACCGGAAACAAAGAATAAATGTTAATAAATATAATTTCTACAGTGCGTATTAATTGTCTTGTAGTTATTAACGCGTGGGTTGTCGGAAAATAGTATTTTCTCGTTAACGAATGATAATGTTAGAATTACACTTCCACCGAAATTTTTTTAAATTTAAAAAAAACCAACAAATATATAAAAGCAAGATTTAATTTTTCTGTACTATTATTTTTGATTCAAATTTAAACAATTATAATTGTAGTTAAAGTAATTTTTCAATTATTATATTAATCTTAATTATTTGCGAAGAAAAACATTTAAAAATCACTTTTACAATACTTTATATATCATCAAATCAATTTTGTTATTTAAGAATTTTAAAATTTAGGTTTTTAAACGGGTTATTTTATTAATCGCATCGAGCAATCATTTTAAATTGCTGAGGAATAAACTCAAAAACGGACAGTATCGAATATGATTAGTCGCGATACAACACGCCCTCTTCCGACTGAAATCGCAAACTAATTTATTTAATCCATTTTTCCACATTTTTTTTTTTTTTAATGTACTATAGAAGAAATATTTTTCAATTCAATATATATTAATATTTAATGTAATATTCCAATTTTTTTTATGAAACCCAATATTCACACAATTTTATCTTACAAATTTTAATTATGAAGATAATGTCTTCAAAAATAAAAAAGGGAAGGTTAATGCTCAAAAACTGGGTCAAATTTATGTACTTGATTTATAGTTTCTATACTCAACAATATTCTGTTGGTATTTAGTTCATAAAAATCAAATTATTAATTTCTAGGTTGTTTGTTACTTAAAAAATTTGAATACTTTCAGTACTGTTTTCACTTTGAAATTCAAAACACACTGATAAATTTATCAAATTATTGATATTACAGCGATTGTATATGATTTAGAAATAAAAATAAATTATAACATCCTACATATATATACTCTAGAGTAGTGGTTCTCAAAGTATGGTTCAGAGACCAATGGTAAGAAAGTATGTGACATGTGGTCTTTGGACTGACCCAGTGATTTTTCCAAAATGCAATTTATTTTATGCTGTTTAGCTAATGAAATGAATATTGTTATGCATCTCAACCTTTCATGTTAGGTTACAAGATATTGTATGATAAACTACTGTGTCTATCATTATCTAAGGTAACATTTACTGAAGACAAGTAGATGAGAGCAAAGGCAGTCTATGGTTCATCTGTGACTTAAAGTATCCACAAATCAACAACTTTGAGAATGATCTAGAATACAGATTATATAATAAAAAATTAATTTATAAACAGTGCAATGTACAGTACATTTTCTGCAAAATTATATGTAATTTTAATTAATAACTTTCAATGGTACAGTACATACATATATATTATCAGATTTCTGAATTATTTTTATTCTTATGTAAAAGATTTACAATACTGTTCTGACATTTTTATTTGAAACAATTTTCAACACAAACACAAATTACTAGAGGAAAAAAACAAAATAAAGCAACCAGCATTTAAAATAGAGCAAGAATAAATCTTAAAACATTCTTTCATATATTGACAAATAATGTATACATATATATATATTGTGATCAAAATATTCACCTTTGGTGTCAATAAAGAACTTCTTTTTTAATAAATGCTAATTAAAAGATGCTTATCATCACACATTCAATTGTTTAGAATAAAATATAATAATAAAATGACATATTGTTGTAAAGATCTTTGAATAAAAATATTTAATCTTCTATTACATACATCTGATATGCAAGATATTTTTCAAATCTATTTATTCTAATATTCAGAAAATGAAGTTGAATATAGTTTACAAATATAAAGTGGATTAAGTCCAATAATACGAGAATTTAACATTTCTAATATCGATCAATATATTTGACAG